CGATCTTGCGACATATACGCGGAGAACTACTTGATGATAACTTAATTTGAATGATACACAACCAAACGAGACTAACAGACATTCGATAAAAACCCATCACTTCATCAACTGCATAATGAATCTAAAAGTACACCTGTGTACTGAAATTTTAACCTGAAAGGTTCTTTCGAGCAACTGAAGCAGAAAGTTGATTCATTTATATTTTTCTTGTACAACAAACAAATTATATCCAAGACTGAGCGGGAAGCTTCTTTTTAACATCCCGCTCAACCATCAAACCCCTAACTTTAGCTGCTTCGTCCCAGATATTGTTTGCAGAGTAAGTGTTTGATGCAAGAAGATACAGGGCGGATCCTTTCGGATCCAGTTCAAAAAGTTTCTTACTGACCGAATTTGCCAGCTCAACATCCTTGTGAACCCAACAAGAAGATAAATATGCTTTCCACACTTGTTTTATGTGATGTATCTCGTTCTCGTACACGAAATCCTTGATCTCCTTCAAGTGGCCCGCTCGGCCCAAGAGATCAACCATGCAAGCAAAATGCCGAATGTCAGGCTGAATGCCGTAGACATCTGTCATTATCTTAAAATACCTGCACCCATCTTCCACTAGACCCGCATGGCTACAGGCTGTCAAGATCCCCATAAAGCTCACTTCATTCGGCCTGATTCCCTCTTCCTGCATTAGTTCAAATAGCTCAACTGCTTCCTTTCCCCACCCGTGCACGCCATAACTCGATATCATCGCACTCCAAAGCACCACATTTCTGGTTCGAGTCTCTCGGAAAAACAACCAGGCCTCATCTAGATTCCCACATTTTGCGTACATGTCAATCAAGGATGAGCATAAGAAAACATCACGCCCGTGTCCTAATTTAACTGTACGGGCATGAATCTGTCTGCCGAGCACCAAAAGAGAAGCATTAGCAGAAGCAGCAGCAACGGTGGTGAGTGTGAATGAGCCCGTCTCAACTTGCTCGTGCATCATTAACCTGAAACATGCCAATGCGTCTTTAATCATCCCGTGCTGAACATACCCAGCAATCATCGTGCTCCAACAAGCGGTTTTTTCCCTTGACTCGTCAGGAGAATATCTCAATCGCAAACTCTGGAATATCACGGAAGCCTTCTCAATTTTCCCGCATTTACAGTGCATATCAACAAGTGCTGTGCTCATGAATGCGTCATAATCTATCCCACTCCTAAGAAGCTGCGCGTGAATCTGCCTCCCTAAGTCAAAATTCTTTACTGAGGATGCCAAGGACAAAGATATAGTGAACGTAACTCCATTAAAAGCACATCCGAATTCAACCATCTCGTGTAGAAGCTCGAGAGCATTTCCCACAAATCCCCTTCGCAAAAGTCCATCTATGATAGTATTCCAGCTACAAACACTCTTAGTTGGCATACTCCAGAAGAAATCGAGACTTTCTCTCAGGTCACCCTCATTCAAGTTGGCTGCCATAGCTATGCTCCAAGAAGTGGAATCTTTAACACCCATCATGTCAAAGAATCTCTTCACATAATTAGACGCCCCCAACTTGGCATAAAGATCAAGAACGGCGTTTTCCAGAGCCACGTCTGTTTGAATCCCGTTCCTGATTATCCAGCCATGAATGGCTTTCCCCATGGAAAGCCCGTTATTAATACAAGCACAACACTTTAGCGCGCTAGACAAAGTAAAGGCGTTGGGAGCAATCGTCCCTTCATTCTGCATTCTAGTAAAGTAATCCAAGGCATTCAAGTACTGCCCATTTTTACAGAAGCCTGAGACGAGAATCGTCCAAGTTCTAACATCTCTTTCGGGAATTTCATCGAACAGCTTCCTTGCCTTTTGTGAATGACGACATCTCATGTAAAGAGTCAAGAGATAGTTAGCCACTTGTAGGCAGCGAACAGATCCATCTTTAATGATGTTTGAGTGATAAGTCTGAGGATTGCAAGAGGCAGGGGATGTGAAATAGCACACCCAGTTTTGGATCTTGCACCTGGTTGGTGCAAAAAGTAGTTTGGCGGGCATATAGCTCGTGGATTTTGTTTCTGTTGCTTAACACCTACTGTATTTATACCTTTTGTATTTTAGGAAATGTTACGGTCTACGGAATCATTTCGCCGGGAGTTATAACTGTTGGATACACATGTAGTTAGTATAAGATAAATTATCTAACGGTTTAAACACCCGACGGAATGATTCCGTAACAAGACCGTAATATTATCTTGTATTTATATTAGGTATTTTTATACAGGATTATTAACATGCAAAGCTTTTAACGGGCAATTTCTTTTAAGTAGTTATTGCATAATAAGATTTACACACCACAAAATAAAAACCTCATTTTCTCACTCCATCAAGTGTTAAAACAATTAAACGCTAATATATGCAAAACATAGACAAAAATAATTGATAAAATGTGATATTTAGACTACATACATACTAAGATAACTGATAATAATTGATAATATATGCAAAACAATTATGTGATACTTAGACGACATACATACGAAGATAACTAATAAACTGCGAAAAAGTTATGCGATCAACTATGCGATAGAGACGAACATAATTGATAAAGTGTAAAATAATTATGCGATACGCTATGTGACAAATAGTCGAACATAATTGATAAACTGCAAAATAGTTAAGCAATACACTATGCAACAAACAACATACATACCGAAGATAATTGTTTTTTTTTTCAAAACGAAAGAGGGATTATATAACTACTCCAACGAAACAACAAACCCAAATACAAACGGGGCCAACAGCCGAAAATGAAAACTGGGAGGACACGCTATAAAGCGGCCTAGATAACCCTCAGACGGGCGTCCAGCTAGCCAAACTAGAATAAAAACACAAAAAAAAAAACACAAACGACACAAAACACCAGAGACGCTCCCCACGGGAGAAAACACACAAAACACTAGAAACGCTCCCCACGGGAGAATTGGTACGGCCCCCAAGGGGTAATCAGAAACAGAGGCCAAACGGCCCAGACCAAAAACACACGAACAAAACAGAAGACCTAACACAAAAAACACAAACTAAACAGACACAGACTCAAACAAACTGACACAAACTAAAAAGAGCGGCCCTTCCTCAGCAGAACAGACGGCCCAAATCAGCAGAGAACGACCAAAAACGAGTAAAGATCCCAGTTTAGGAGACGACTTCCGAAACTGCTATAAAGCCTATACGAGAAGACGAACCCGAACACAAATCAGTCCCCGAAACGACCCACCTCAACCGCAGGGACACCGAAACCACACCCACTCTAGCACCGCCCGAACACAACTAACACCACTAGCCGAGCATCGGGGCGCCAGAAACCCGCCGTCTAATACCACTAGTCGGAACAGGGGGAATTAGCTCAGGCCCTCGACTCTGACACACCGTCAAAGCCCCGCCCCCCTCACGACCCCCAAACCAACCAAAATAAACGCAGACCACCGGCAACCTGACTAGCAAACCCCGAACGAAGATCCTCCGGAAAAGCAGAGCCGTCCAAGGGATCCTCTCGTCGCGCACAAAATCGAAAATAGGAACAGGAGAGGGAAAGGACGGGTGGCTTACCTGCAATCACGGTCCACAGGCTAAGAACAACACCAGATGCGACCCGACCGAGGCTCGCCATAACCAATCGCTACTCCACCGGCGAACTAGGGCAGGCCAGACCGACGCCTAAGGCAAACCGCGGCAACAACAGACGCATGGAGGCTTGGAGCTACTGAGGGGGGGCAGCGGTTGAGCGCGACCACCGGCCGGCGTCGCACCGCCGCCGAGGAAGGCAACACGAATTAGAGACAAGGGTTCGCGGAGTGGATTTAGGGATTTTCGGATGAGAGAGAAAGGATGGGGATTTGGGGATTTTCGGATGAAGATAATTGTTAAAATGCGAAATAATTATGTGATACACTATGCAACAAACAGACGAACATAATTTATAAAGTGCGAAACATTTATGCGACATACAAGCAAAGATAATTGATGCAAAAAGCTTTGCGTCAGACCGATGATAATTGATAAGGTGCGAAATAGTTATGCGATAAACTATGCGACAAACATGCGAACAAAAGGGATAAAGTGCGAAACAATTATGCGACAAACAAACTAAGATAATTGATGCGAAAATCTATGCGGCAGACATGCGTATATAATTGATAAAGTGAGAAAACATTACGCGAAAATCTATGTGACAAAAAGACGAAGATAATTAATAAAGTGCAAAGTAGTTATGCGATAAACCATGCGACAATCATACGAAGATAATCGATGCAAAAGGCTATGTGAGAGACAAGCGGAGATAATTGATAAAGTGCGAAATAGTTATGTGATAAACTATGCTACAAACGGACGAATATAAGTGATAAAGCGTAAAAAAATTATGCGATAAACTATGCGATAGACAAACGAAGATAATTGACAAAGTGCAAAATAGTTATGAAACAAACAGACTAACATAATTGATAAAGTGCGAAATAATTATGTGCTAGACATGCAAAAATAACTAATAAAGTGTGAAAGTTATGCAATAAATTATATTTAATTGCAATAATAGTCTTGAAATATTTCCCTATATATAATTCCCGAATATGCTGAGTTTAAGTGGCAGGCTCGCGCGCTACCAGATCTTATGTGGAAAAATTTTTAGTTTTGTTGTTTAACTTGAATTATAACAAACATTTATAGAAGTTAATTTCTATGGCTATATTTGGTATCTAGATATTTGATTTAATATGATTTTATACCTTGTAATCTCTATATATTTTCTGTAAAAATCATTCTACGATGAATACAACAGAAACTATTTCTTCTCTATCATGTTCTTTCTTGTGATTTCTGCATGGCATCAGAGCGGTGAATTTTGCCACCAATACCTCTCAGACGGTTCCTTCTACCGGCGTATCTCTGATGACGCAAGGACACTCGAACAACACCACCAACTCTTCGTCTGGACATGGCCGAGGGTTAATTCCATATAATTTGACCAAAGCCCGCGCTGCAAGTGTTATTGGGATTATTAGGCTCAGTCTTTTTAATCCTCCTATCCAGTTTGGCACTTATGGGGCTAATTCAGTCCCGGCATCTACAGTTTTGAGTCCGGATCAATAGCAGCCATTAGTTAATCTTGTTCGTCCATATAATTCTTACATGGTTGTTTCTAATCACTTGACTGGTAAGTATTAGTCATGTGGTTGGATGTATGATTGTTGTGCTACACATCAAATGACTGAATTTTTCAATATCTTGTTGATATTTGTGATATCTCACCTTGACCAGTGCAGTTTCTTAATGGGCAATTGATTATTGCGAATAAAGCCGAAAATGTTCGTCTTAGTCAAAATTTGGTCTTGATTAATGTCCTTTTTGTTACTAGTCTTAAATGCAGTCTTATTTTGTTATATCACTTACTGGATGATCATGGGTATATAGTCCACTTCACTAATGTTGATTGCCTACTACAGGATCGTACTACGAGGACTCTGATGTTGGGTTCTATTAGGAACGTCGACAATGTGCACATTCAAATCTATTGAATAATAAATCATAACGCAGCGGAATCTATAGTTAGGATTAGGACTTACGGTTTTAAAATTTTTGCCGACTCTGAGACGTTTCTGATTTCCGTTGATGGAGATCGTCTGAACACCAAAGTC